ATCATTATTATTATTATTATTATACGACAGAGAGATTGGCGACCATCTGAGGAATCTATCAATTATCTTTTTTACTTCTTATTCATATCGATTGTCCGCAGAATGAACACAGCTCATACTATTAATACTGATCGTCATCCTCTCAGTTTCATAATCATGCGTATCCACCACCACCACTCACCACCGTCCTTATCCTTATCACCATCATCCTCATCATCCTCCTCATCATCATCACCATCATCATCAATTTCATCCTCCTCCTCCTCATCATCATCATCAATCTCATCCTCATCATCATCATCCTCCTCATCATCATCATCAATCTCATCCTCATCGTCATCATCATCATCATCAATCTCATCCTAATCATTATCCAGAGTAGGTAGGGAGAGTCTCACTTGATTAACAGACAAAAAATATAAATGTAAAATATTTTTAACAAATTGTTTTTATTGAATCGGCTTGACGTTTCGCCACGTAGGCTTCCTCAGGAGCATCTGAGAGTGATACTAATCATCATCATCATCATCATCGTCATATATGTATGCATTGTCTGCACGCCCTTTTCGTCTATGCAGACTGTCAATTTAGCTTAAGATGGTCTCAAGGTTGCCTTCATGCAGCTTCTTTCATGGCAAATTCTTCCTATGTTTGAAGCGCAGATTCTGTCGCAGTGCTTGCATGTCAGTGCTAGCATTGTCTACGGCGTATAATATGCGTGTTTTCCTGCCAATAAAAAATAAACGAATAAACAAGACATGGCGGAAATGTTTAGAGGGATCGGAGGGTACTCACAGCAGTGAGCTCAGCGACCATCTGGGTGGAGCTCTCGTCCTTGCGGTGTGCCGTGACCATCAGCTGTTTGTGCTCCGACAGCTCCGTGCTAGTCTGCTCCAGCTGGGCCTTGAGCTGAGACACACAGATAACAGACACACAGTTAGGCACATACACACAGACAGCAGGAACACAGTTAGACACATACACACAGACAACAGACACACAGTTAGACACATACACACACACAACAAACAAACACACACGCACACACACACACACAACACACACACACACACACACACACACACACACACACAGACACACAGTTAG